ATTGTGAATTCTGTTTCAAGAACATGCAGTGTATTAGGAGAACTCACCGTTCACTCAATCATTTAGGTTCCTCGATCATCATGCTGGGTTGAATAAATATGAGATTTGGGAATGAACCCATCTAACTGAACTAAGAACCTAGATGGTTTCCATTAGAATAATGTATTCTAAAGTCAAAAATGGAAAGACACTTTTGGATTTTATTTTGGCTTCACTATATGCATTTTTGAACATTCGATGTAACAGATAGGACCTGCTCATGGGGCCGCCAGGTTCGCTTTGGAGTGGTCTTAGGATCTCCTGGGTATGAGAATAAGCAGTTTCAGCAGCCTAAAAAGATCTGAATTCTTAAAATACGAGAGTATCTTTTTAATAGCGTCAGCAGCAACGTTTATTTGTTATGTATGGATTATTTTCTATGTCCTTATCATTTCAGCTTTTATCATTTGAAATGTTTTTTAAATAAACATTTCTGAGTGATAAAACAAACAATTAAAATGGAGAAATTTATTAGTCTAAAAGTAGAACCTAAAAATAAAATAAAATTAAATAAATAAAATAAAATAAAATAAAGACTGTGTCCTGTGGCCTGGAAACAGAGAGGAGACAAAGTGATTCACTCACTGGTCAGTCTCTAGCCAAATGAGCCAAGAGTTGTGGCCAGATTCAGAAGGACCCACTGTGGAATCTGGAACTGAATTAAATAAGTTAAAATGAACGGAAGTGCTCTTTCCCAAACTAGAAGGGCTTCTGTCATTCTACACTCAAACATGACTTGGCATTGTCTTAAACCTTAGTTATTCAAGCAAAACAAAACAAAACCAAAAAACAAACAAACCACATCTGCGACATTTCGATTCCCTCTCACAGACTCTGCCCTTGTGCTCAGAACTGCTGACCATTTAGCCAAATGCCTCTTCTGGACACTCCTTACAGCTTCTGTGTGCTCACTTCTTCCCTCTTATCCCTACCCTCTTCCTGTTAGATTTTCACTGAAATTCCATATGCTGAGGTGTTTTTTTTTTTTTTCCTCCTCATACAGCATTGAGCATACACACACCCCACAAAGAGACCTTTGTGGAAAAGCAGGTCATGTGACACTCTCTGCCTGAGACTGTGAAATCACATTCCTGTGTACTTCTGTATGTCACCAAGAAGGGTATTACCACACAAACTCTGAAACTCGAGAAAAAGAAATAACAATCTCTTCTTCAAAACAATACCTTCCCAAAGGCTTAGCCTACCTGAAAAGAGGCTTAAGAAAATTGAGAGCCTTAAAAGAGCATTTCCAAAATAAAAATATGAGTTAGAGGTTAGGAAGATAGAGAAAGGATGGTGACCACTTGTTTTTGTTTGTTTTTTTCTTTTAAAAGAGACAATAGTCTTTCTGTATAACAATTGCTTAATTGCTGACAGTAAAGTAGCAACACCCCAACAGCCGCCCCCTCCTGTCTTCAGCAAAAAACATGTGTTGTTTTGTTAATTTGATAATGAGGGTACCGTTAATTGCCAGCGCCCTCAAAGCAGTCTTCTCTCACTGCCTTACATGACCCTCGATACCACTAACTGCTCTGTTTCTCCATGGTCAGGTGTGTCCGCCTGCATGGACACTAGAGTGGAAACTGCCCTCCACACCAGAGCCAGGTTCTCAGCAAGTCCCTCTGGTACTTGAGAGTGTGAATGTGACAGAACAATCAGCAAATTCTCCACATCGCAGAGCCCCTCAGTGGCTGGTACTCACAAATATTTAAATAAATATTACAACCTTGTTTGCAGTTTGGAGACTTTTCTTCCTGATATACTTAGAATAGAGGGTCTTCAATCCCTGGGCAGTGAGCCAGTACCAGTCCGTGGCTTATCTGGACCTGGGCTGCACAGCAGAAGGTGAGTGGCGGGCAAGCAAACACAGTTTCACCTGCTTCTGCAGCCTCTCCCCAGCGCTTGCATCACCACCTCAGCTCCACCTCAGATCATCAGGCATTGGATTCTATAGGAGAATCCCTGGTGCCAAAACGTTGGGGACCACTGACTTAGATAATCAACTTCAAGATATCAGTCTCTTGAACTGGATGGGGGTTCATCCAAAACTTTAACCAGCTTTAAAGTCACTTTCTTTTCGCACCAGCACAACAGGCCTACCTGAGGGAAAAGTCATCTGTGGAAGATTATTTCTCAACCAAGTCTCTTAATGTGCTGCTCTTATTAAACTCTACTATGTACCAGATTATTTATATATATTATTAACATTTTAACCCTCACTACAACCATACATGGTGGATGTTTTTATGACCATTTTACATAAAAAGAAATTGAGACTCAACTAGATGAAATAAATTGGCAGAAATCACAAAATTAATAGATGGGAAGGCCAAATTTTGAATTCAGACCTCTCTGGCACTGTCATTTTTTTCTCTCTAAAGCAGTTTTAAAATCTCATGAGCATCTTTATGTTTTCAAAGCTCCTCCGTGTGTAGATTTCCAAGCTCTTCACAAGACTATAAAGGAAGCTAGAACAGGTGGTATTATCTCCATTTTACACACGAGGAAACAAACTCTGTTCTCCTAGTGCTTGTTCCAAGTGTATTATCATTCTGATACTCAGACATGAGCATGTCAAATTCTTTGTCTAGAATAAAGTTCTCTGGAGAGGGGATAGGATGATCAATGGTAATCAAAGACGGATAATAACAAATTCATCATACCACTGATTGACTAAACAAAGAGGCATCTGGGTCTTTATCCGAGTATCAGATGCTATACTGAGACAGGTACCCAAAAGAGTATTGGGATGAAAAAGGGAATAGAAAATCCACCTGGGAAAAAAAAAAGAAAAAAGAAAATCCACTTGGCCTTACTTTCCAACCCAGAGCCCCATCAGGACCCCTGCCCATAATTTATACTGTCGGCTTATTAAATGCTTAGAACAGTGCATCTCAGTGTTAATGTGAGATCTTGGATTTTTATTTTTTATTGTTATTTTTTTAATTTTTCAATTAGAGTTGGCTTACAACGTTATATTATTTTCAAGTGTAAAACATAGTGATTATAATTTACGAAGGATCACCCCATTAAGTCTAGTATCTATCTGACACCACACATTATTGACTATATTCCCTATGTTGTACTTTACAATGTGAGATCTTGCTAAAATCCAGGTTCTAGTCTTAGGTGGTTTAGGGTAGCACCTGAGGATCTGCATTTCTAACGTGGTCTGTGGATGGCACTTTCAGCATCCAGGCCAGATCTATGAAATCTTATTAGAAATGCAGACTCTGCACATTCCCTCCCCCCCCACCCCCTCAACACACGCACACACCTAGTACATCTAAGTCTGCACTCCAATAAAATCTCAGAAGTATATGCTTTGAGGAACAGTGGGTTGGAGGGCTGCCTGACTGGCTGGGTAAATGGATGATTAAATTAACTTCCATTTGTTATTCTGTTGGACAATTGGCATCATAAACACAGTTTCCAGTTGAGTGTGCATGTGTGTTTGAGAAA